TCAAATCAAGAGGCCATGCCTGGGGGCAGTCAGCTAAAGAGATTAGAGGACCAGGGGGATTCAGTGGTGTGTGATGGAAGAAACAAATTTCCCCAAATTGAGAAACTAATCTGAATCCAAAGAACAAAGCAGGCACATCCATTAATCACACTTAGAGTTGATTAAGGACAGTTTACACACAGGGCCCCTCAGCACTTCTGCCTGAAGTTGCTGCTGGATGTGAGCCAGTGTGCCTGCTGTTAGTGTTCACTAGGCCAACGGAGGGGTGTGGTCCAAACAGCATCCCTGGTATTAAGGGGTGGCTGGCTGCTGGAGGCATGGTCCTCAGCTAGTAAGCTAGTAGTTGGGATGCAAAGGTAAACTGGGGTAACTGAGCTGCTGGAGGTGGTAGCTGTGGCCCTCCATGTGTGGGGCCTGGTAGCTGGAGCAGGCAGAAATGGCAGAAAGGCAGTCTTGTGAGTGTGGCTGGGAGTGCTCAGTGGGGGACTGCTGCAGACTGTGCAGGCCTGGTGGGTCTTATGGGCATAGTGGGCCTTCTGGACCAGGTCTGGGGCTGCTGCTAGACTGTGGACAATGCTGAGATCCCTCAGCTGGACCCAACATGGACAAGGGGCTCTGATGCCCCCTCAGCTGTAACGTGTGCTGCCAGAGCCCCTCCTGCACCACACTGGCGGTCGGAGTAGGCCACAGGCACTGCTCTGACCAGCACTGGGGACACCCACAGGGGACGTAGCTCACATGAGGTCCTGTAGGGGGGTGGGTCTGGCAGGCCTAGGGCTGTCAGAGGGGTGTAGCTGATAGCCACATCATTCCACAGCTGTGTGTGTTCTAGGAGGTCCTGGTGTACTTGCTGGCCTGTTTGTTAGGAGGCAGGTAGTGACTGACAGAGGCCTGGCCTATTTATGTGCTATGGGTGGTCCCCTTTGCTCTGTCTCTGGGCTCCGAGCTAACTTGGATGCTTCCAGAGGTTGGGTGGCGCTCTCATGAGGGATTTGCCTTCAGGGTCAAATAGTATGGAGGCTGGGTTCCAAAGTGGTGCCAACTCCAGCTGTTATCAACAAGGTGTTGAGAGGTTGCCAAGATCCCATCAATCAGGTACAAAACTCCTGTGGGCTAGATTTGGAGCAAAAGAAGCCTTCATATAGCTGTTTTTAGTTTTCTTGTTCTATCTTTTTTTCAGCAGCATTGCATTATAACATTGCTTTAATTTCAGGTGTACATCATTGAAAATCAACATGTACATAGACATGTAAGCTCACCACTAAATGGTGTACGGAAAATGGAGTTACTCAGCCTATTTTTTGCCTCCTGCACCAGGCCTCTATGGCTGCCACCTGTGGCCTTGCTTTCCTCCCAAGTTTTGTTGCCCACACGTGATAAGGTGTTAATGCAAAAAGCACTTGGAAGACTGAGTACAGGGTGTTTTCATATGTAAATATGGACACCTGGGCTGAGAAGCAAGGGATAAAAGGAGATTTCAGGGGCGTGAAGCTGGGAGAAGCCGGAGAGAGAGGCCAGGAGGAGAGCGTGAAGATCATGGAGACTGCTGAGCTCTTAGGGGTTGGGAGGTTTGGTTGTTGCCTCTCTGCTGCCAACCTCTCAGCTCCCCCGTCTGTCTCCTGGCCTCCCACCTTCCCGGCCCCACAGCTTTCCAGCACCCCCTCTTTTCTCAGGCCCCCAACCTGTCAACTTCTCTCCATCCCTGCCTTGCTGCTGCTTCCTTGCCCAACAATGGCATCCTTCTTTTCTTCTGTTTATTCTCTCCCTGAAGCTTGAATTTAAATGAAATGATTCAGATAAGAATTTTCTTTTCCCCAGGAAGACTTTGACCCTTTCCTAAGGCCAGAATTTTATAATACTTGAATAGGAGCTATTTCTAGAATCACAAAGGGCTTGTAAAATGAAGTCACCTTTTAATGGCTCCAAGATGATTTGTAGCCTGCTACATCCAACTTTCTCAGTTTCATTCAATTTGCTGTCTTGGGAAGATCTTTCTAGATTTGGAGCTGAATTTGGGGGGAATGCTTTTCTTTCTGAGTACTTTTTTTTTCTTCTGTGCTATCAGGCTCTAAATATCAGTTTCCACTTTCTCCAAACTTTGACCATAGAACTATTTAAAAATCCTTTTCATCTCTCGTCAGGTATCAGCCAGAACAGAAAATAATTCTGGCAATATTAGTCAACTCCATCCACCTAAGAGGTGCCCGTAAAGAGTGGGCAAGGGAGATTCTCTCCCTAAGGCCCAGCATCATTCTAAGCATAGGCAAAGAAAGACTAAGATGATTCCCGTAAGAGATGTTAGCTGCAAATGGAGTTTTACCCACATTTCTGTCCAGTTATATTTTGGGGACCAAGCCAAGTTCTCAGAAAACAAGGAGACAAAGGGAAACCTTAACTGACCTTCTGGGTTTCCTTCTGACACAAAAGGCGGATATGGGGTGGTCAGGCAGAGGGAGCAGGATGAGACCGGTTAGATCTCAGAGATTTCCTTATCTTTTATTTATTGGCCTCAGTTTTGTAATAGTCTCTTGAAGGGATAATTTTCGTACTGATGTGTCTTGGACACTAATGCCAAATAAGCATCCCTTTTGATTTTGCTTGACGTTGAGAATACACATGACCCCATTTTGCATGCAAGAAAGTAAGTTTTGAGGGCCTCCCCAGTGGTGCAGCAGGTTGAGCGCAGCGCCTTGAGGCTGTCCGCGGCCTCTGCAGGGCTGGTTCCAATCCCTGCCGGCCAGGAAGAGTCCCACATGGCGCAGCAGACCTCTGCTGGCTCACCTACTTCTACCCTCATTAGTGTCTTCTGTCCTTCTGCCTGTTCTGCTCCCTGCTCTGTCTCTGGTGAATTCTCTCACCCTCCCACCCCTCTGGCTGTACCCCAGTGTTTGTATAAATAAATAAATCTTTTAAAAAAAAATGTACGTTTTGGGAGGTCCACAGATTCCTGAGATGGCCACTGTAATTCTAAAGTCTCTTTAGTTATTCTGGTCCATTTTATTAAAAAAAAAAAAAAAGATGAGAATCAAAATATTTGTACATTTGATAAGCTTGGGGGCACGGGGCTGAAGAATTTTTACAATTACAGAAAAGCCAAGAACTTTTCTACAGAATTATACCAAATACTCGCAAACTTCCTAAGATCCACTAATGTAAGACTTAGAGGGGAAAATCTCTAGCAGCTGCATCAAGTGAAGCAAATCTCAAATACGGGTGGGGCACTCAAAGGGGCAGCTGAATTCTATTCTGAGTGGAGCCTTCCCAACTGTGAGGTGCTTACAAGCAGGGAGCCCAGGAGGCTCATGGGGGTTCCTCACCTGTCTGGAGGTGATGAGCAGCAGTCAAGGTTTGTCTCTTCACATCTCGTGTCTGAGACTGTTATAAGACAGGGAGAGGAGCAGCCCAAGCCCCGCAAACCTGCCTATTCTAAATGGGTTCGGCCATCCGCCGCATCAACACAAAACACATGAGAGTAATGGGAAGGATCTTTAATAAAACTAGGAAACAATACAGGAAAGGCAAAGAGTCTAGTGTCTAAATGAAGCACCCAAAGTTACCCGTCCCCTCGTGGGTAAAACTCCATCCATATGGGATCGGCCCAGAACAAGGCCCCAAAGCCTGCTACAAGTCTAAAGCATCTTCCAGTGGGGACTCACAGAAAAGGGTCACAAACAACCGGACAAGCCCGGAAGGAAAAGAGCAAAATCAACATCCAGATAAAAGCTGCCATTGTCTCCTCCCCATGGGTCTCACCCACATCTGTGTCACCCAGTCCACGACCAAAAGACAAGCTCAGTTTCTTCACATGTCTCTAGGCTCCATGCGCCTCCTCCAGGTCTCCTGGCTCCATCCTGCTTTCTTCCTCAGTCTCTTCCTGCAGCTTCTTCTCTTCCTGCTCAGCTCCCCCCTCCCTTGGGTGGGGCAGGGAAACTCCCCCTTTCCTGGGGACCACCCTGTTGCAAGACCATAAAGGTTAACAGCAAGCAGACAGCAGCTCAGCAGACAAGCCGAAATGCACTTGCTCGGGAATAGAGAATTGCAGTACGGCATGCAGATTTAGGCAGAAATCAAAAGAGGAACAAAAATCAGGTGGGTTTTTAGAAGGCAAGGAAGGATGAGGTAATGTGTGCAATGATGGTCAGATAAAGGTGTCACAAGGTAAAAACGGTCAGGGCGTCAGGTTTCAAGGTTGACAGGTCTCGGAGGGGTCACAAAGTAAAAATTTATTTTTATCAGCCTTTGCAACAAGGATGTTCTTGTTGACTTCTAGGAAAGCTGGCAGCGTGTCCCAGTCCAGATGTCTGACCCAGTTTAAACAAGCAGTTTTTCTGCAGTGAATGCTTGGCCCCATTTAAAATGATTCCTGTGATATTACTTTTTCACAAGAGAAACCCACAAAGTGGGACAGATTCTGGCCTGGGCTCTTTTTTCAAATTCCATGCCATGGGAAGGAAGGCGGGAGGGAAAAAGGGAAGGAAAAAGGGGGAGGAGGGAAGAGGAGATGGAAGGAAGCAGCAGAGAAGTTTCTTAGATTAAAAGATATTCAGGGGATATAACACTGAATTGAAATACGTGAACCGTGATTGGTTAATTAAACTAGAATTCTCTGAAAATAGCTGGGGAAACGTGAATGGACTCTCAAATTTCATATTTTAGATAGAAAGTTGACAATGTGATGATACAGAAAATGTCTATTATTGAGGAATTCTAAGTTGTAATGCTAAAAAAAATTTAGGCGTAAAGTATCATCATGTTTGTAGATTATTTCCAAATGGTTTAGCAGAAAACATATTGGGCCTCCCTGGTGGTGCAGGGGTTAAAGATAGTGCTCTCGAGCTATTGCCAGCCACTGCAGCACAAGCTCAGATCCCCAGCCAGGGAGCTACCCACATGGCACAGCAGACCACTCCCGTCTCGCCTGCTGCTCCCCTCAGCAGTGTATTTCAGTCCGTCTGTTCTCCCCACTCTGTCTCTGGTGAATGCTCTCACCCCCCACACTCCTGGCCTGTACCCCAGTTCTTGTATGCACAAATAAATCTTTTTTAAAAAGTTGTAGAAATTATATCTGCATGCTGCTTTTAAAATATGTGAAGATAAGTATCATCTTTTCATTTTTCATTTATTAATGGCCACATTTGCAAATTGTATTATTTTTCCTTTTATAAAAAGTTAGATTTTGTTTTGCCCTCTCGGCTCCCAAGAAGGAACACTTATATGGTAAATGCACGATCATCCACGGCTAGTTTCACTTCTGAAGTTGTCTTTGTAGATTCACTTGCAAACCCTAGAAAAGCATCTTATGGCCATGGGCTTCATGGAACCTCCGACGGGCCCCTCTATTGTTCCTCTTGTTGTGGTGTTTCTTCTTATGGCAAATGTTGCCGTGAACATTTTTCTTGACTTGTTCTCTCATCCACTGCTTAATAATATGACTGTGAGGGCTGACACAGAATCTTCTTTGCTTGATATGAAGGCTGCCAAGAAGGAGGGGAAAACAATCACTGACAGCAAGTACAAGGAAGTAAAAACTTAGTGAATTACGGGCAGTTCGCACTCTTTAACACAGTGTTTTCTTATTTACTGAATCCTAAATCTGAGCACCACGAGGTGGGATCTTTACTGCTGCCCTGTGGTCCACAGACATCAGCAGAAAGTGTTAAAAAAGGAAAGAATTGGAGCAGGGGGAGGGGGCTTATTAGTAGCCAAAGGAGACACCTGGAGCCCTATGTGGCACTGAAACCAGCACTTCACGGAGTTGCCTCATACATCCTTGTATGATTTGAAGGTGGTAAATGCAGTGGAATTTTGGAAGAGCATTTTATGGTTAGTCCTACCAATGGCTAGATGGGAGGGAGTGTCCAGAGCCCCATACTAGTCCTCTGCCCCATCCTACAGAGAGAGACTTCTGAGAGACTTGGGTTTACATCCCTCTCCTGCCATCACTGGCATGGAGTGAACTATGTGATTGCCTTCTTCACAGCTTTTCTCCTGTGTACCGGGGAGATATTTCATGTCTTCCTCACAACATTGTTGTCAGGAGCCAGACTTGCTGAATACTGATGTATTTCACAGCCAGAATCATGTTTGTGGGAATCTCTACACTTCCGGTTGTACCTTATATCTAAATGAATTGAGAGAGCAAAAATGACAGCAACCCATGCACTTGCTTGAAAAAAGTTATAACCTTGAAACAAGAATCACCTTTTGTTTTTGCTTTGTTTATTGAAAGTATATTTTGGGGCCTCCCCTGGTCGCGCAGGCGGTTGAGCACAGCGCTGGGAATCTGTCCGCAGGCGCTGGCCGGTTCCATCCCTGCCGGCCAGCGAGGGTCCCACAGGGCGCGGCAGACCTCTCCTGTCGTGCCCGCTGCTCCCCTCAGCAGTGTATTTCTTCAGTCTGCCTGTTCTGCTCCCCACTCTGTCTTGGGTGAATCCTCTCACCCTCCCACACATCTGGACTGTACCCCGGTTCTTGTATAAATAAATCTTTTTTTTTAAAAAAAGTATATTTTGCTTAGAAAAGTCACATATATTGTCCTATTACAGAGACAGCTCGATGAAGGGGCATGTTCCCCTCCCCACTTAATGATGGGTGGAGCTTAGGGGCCAGGTGAAGGTGAGGCTGTGTAACATGGAGGGCAGGTGGGCTCCATTGTCTAACCATGGTGTCTCCTTTTGTCCCAGCTTTCTGAGACCTGCTTCAGAACTCCTTTCCCTAGTAGAAGGTGCCTTAGACTTGTGGCAAACTTTTGAGCCTCAGCAGCCCCTACTTTGGGTTGACCCTGTTTGGCTGGGCATTGGCCCAAAAGGGATGGGTAATTTGGGGTGTTTTATTGGGAAACTACTAGTAATATCCTTCTCTCTCTATGTATTCTTGCACACTAACAGTGTGCTTTGCCTTTGTGCATACAATTGCCAGGACTTTTCAGAGCATGCAAGTTTGGGGAGTCTCAGGGTGCCCCTCAATCAGGCTAATAGTCCAGTGATGGAAGGCTTTCAGACCTAACAAACACACAGCTCTGTAGGGTGGGGGGCAGAGGGCTAGTGTGAGGCTCTGGACACTCCCTCCTGCTTAGTCACAGTTTCTCTCTGAGGTTTCAGTTATGGAACGTCAGCTAAGGTCAAATATATTATGTGAGATAAGATATTCTAAGAGAGAAACCAATCTTGCCTACGTTTCATTACAGTATATCATCATAGTTCTATTTATTGTGAGTTATTCTTTACTGGGCCTACTTTATAAGTGAAACCATATCATAAATATGTATTTGTAGGGAAAGGCATCATCTATATAAGGTTCAGTATTTTCTGATTACAGACATTCTCTGGGCATCTTAGAACACATTCCCCATGGAAATGGGGGCCTACTGTACAGTAAGGGTGTGCATTCACTCTGGGGGACCTGGGACCAGGAAGACAGAATATTTAATGTCCCCTCCTATATTTAGATGATTATTTGCAAGTTGTGTATGAAGCCAGAGAAAAGATCACTGTAAGTTTAGACCTCCCTGCTGAAGAGGACTCACATGACTGCAGCCAAGTTACAATCCCCATCAGCTCTCTGAATGCGACATATATTCACTCTATCCAGAAGCCTTCTGGAAATATGATGTGAAACCTCCGTGCAACAGCTGGATGCAATGGGAAGTATAGCTAAAAGAAGAAAAGAAAGAAATTATTAAATCTTATTTGTAGACCACAGCCCGCTCTCTTAAAGATTCCGGACATACAGAATGTTAATCCCCTGGAGCAAGGAGCAAACACTAATTGAGGGCTTTGTGTACTTGCAGACCCGAGGCAGGATTGGGGGGGGGGGAGATAAAAAAATTCAAAGATTCAAGACAAGATAAGAAAAACTGCAAACAATGTGAGTGACCAAATATCCCAAGTGAAGGAAATTAGCAAATTGAGCACAAAAGAAAGGTAATCCTACAGAGGCTGAGTCAGGGACTCAGAGATTTGTTGGGAAATAAGTGCCCTGCAGTCAGTCCTGGCCCTTACACATAGGTGGGCAAGAATCCTCTACCAGTGGAAGCCCTACCCAGCCCTGCTCTCCCCCTAAGCAAACATCTGTGTCCAAGCCAAACATTTCCTTCGGATAGATTTGTCTCTTGAAACCCTTGAGGAAAGGCAAGTGCTTTATCTGTCCAAGCATAAAAATCCCCTTGCGTTTCAAATCTGCATACCTTACTCTGCCAGAATGTTAGGAAATTATCACATGCCCATAAAAATGATTGCTTTGTTTCTCTAATGTGACTTTTTACCAACAAGTCCCGCGGTGATATAAGCTGGGCCCTACCTGGGGGAAGGGAGGAGGTTGGGAAATCAGCTGGCAGGGACCCTTTTCTAGGTTGATCCTCAAATTTTTGACTTTAAATATAAGAGTTTTCCTTTCTTCCATACGATGGCAATTATTTCTAAATCCACACCCACACAGTAAAAATGACAGCGACTACCTGAGCTCCTGGAGTAGGTTTGAAAATTTCCCACTGGGATGGATTGGGCTGACTCCTGAAGGATTTGGGTAGTTGGAGGAAAATGGAGACTTGGTCAGACTGCAGGGCAGTACATAGGCAGGGCCCACGCCCTGGCAATTGTAGAAAATGCTGCTAGAAGATAGGAGTGCAGGAGTTTTTTCATTAGTGTTTTCATATTCTTTGGGCATTGTTGGATCATATGGAATCATATGAAATGTGCAGAATAGACAAATCCATAGAGACAAGGCAGGGAATAGGGAGTGACAGCTAACAGCTGCAGGGACGCTTTTGGGAGATGAAACATGCCAGATTTACAGGTGTTGATGTGCAATTCTGTGAAGATACTAAAAAACCACTGGACTGTACATGTAACAATGAACTTTATGGCATGTGAATAAAATTTCAATTTCTTGAAAGTCCTCTCGGAGAACACTGTGGTCGTCCTTAACCTTATTAATGTATTTATTTCTTTTATTTTTTTTAGATTTATTTATTTATACAAGCACTGGGTACAGTCAGAAGTGCGGGAGGGTGAGAGGATTCACCAGAGCCAGAGCGGGGAACAGAACAGGCAGAGTGAAGAAATACACTGCTGAGGGGAGCAGTGGGCAGCAGGAGAGGTCTGCACGCCATGTGGGACCCTCGCCGGTGGTGGGGGATGGAACCAGCGCTGCAGAGGCTGCGGGCAGCTTGGCAACCCAGTGCTCAACCGCTGCACCACCTGGGAGGCCCTAATGTATTTATTTCTTAAATCTAATTGTTTCTTTAGCTGCATTTTGCTGCTTATTCTACAAGGTTTAGGTTTATTCATGCATGCATCCATTCATTCATCCATCTTACTATATAAGAATCACTGTGTGTGTGTATGGATTCTGACATAGTGAATCACTATGCTGGACACTGGAGGGAGAAAACTGAAGAGTTACTAGCTTCAAAGAGCTAATACAAGGACCACGGCTCTTACTTGTGACCCAAGAGCTATATAACATAAAGCGGACTTTCAGAAGCATCGTGGGAATAAGAATCTTAGTCAAACCGGTGCATTTAGGAATTTGAGTTATCTAAGTGCTGACATCAACTCAAGGAATAGTTTTAAACCAGAAAGCCATTTAGTTAACTGGATTACATTTTTTCAAATATAAAGGTAGGGTGGACTCATCTAGAGATCACTTAAGTCAAAAAACTATCAAAAAGCCAGTAGCATATAACAAGACCACTCATTACTTGTTGGCAGGCATTACTGCCTCCCACGGGGGTGGATTCAGTTCAATTTCACAATAAGCTGCAGATCCTGCTCATGTGTGCCAGGTGCCATTTGAAGAGGGCAGTGGTGAGATTCTTTTATATGACATCGCCCCCTAGAGGTCATCTCCTACAGCCTCCTGTCAGAATATTTCCCCCACCCCTTTTTTTCCCCCCAAAGGATCAGCAATGGTGATCTAGAATTTCCACACAGGTGAGATTTAGGGGATCCAATAAGTTTGGAAAGTGGGGATTGTGCAGTGTTTCTTCTGCATTTAAGTGTTTTTGTTCAGATAATGTTTACTTGGTTGGAAAAGTGTTACCGAACGCCGGCCTCAGTTTCCCTCAGCCAATAAAAGGAAACTGAGTTTGAGGAAAAGGAAAGCGGTTTTATTTGTCGACAAATGAGGAGGGCGGCAGACTCATGTCCGAAAAACCACCGTCCTGCTCTTTGGCAGTGGGCAGGGGTATTTATACAGGGGGAGATGGGTAGGGGTCCGCGAAGGGGAGGGGGAAGGGGTCCGCACAGAGACAAGTGGGCGCCAGCTCAACAGGGAGATGGATGGGTGTCAGCTCATTCATCTTAAGGGAAGGGGAAGGTGTCAAGGCACAGAGACGGGTGATCGCCAACTTGTTTTCCTTAGGGCGAGGGGGAAGGGTCTGCAGGGAAACCGGTGGGCGCCAGCTTGTTTTTCTTCCCAAGGGGAGGGGAAGCTGCAACAAATGGGAAAGACAAGCCATCAATCCTGCCAATGCTAGATAAGGGGAATTGCAAGAAATGGGGAAAGACAAACTTGTTAACTGTCTCATAATCAAATTGATAAGGGATTAGGGAAGCTAAGCCTTCCCACAAAGAGGACCTTCAGGTGCCACCATTTTGTAAGGCCAGAAATCTATGGGAAAGAACCTATTTTTCTTCTAAACTGAAGTTTACAAAAACATACACCTGTCTAATGGAGTAGAGGCTCCTCTGAAGGGAAATATGTGAAAAATTTGAAAATAGAAAATCTTGCAGAGCGAGTTAGATACGGTAGCAGAAGCGAAGGGCACACATGAACAGGATCTGCAGCTTGTGAAGTTGAACTGAATCCACCCCCAGTGCCTTTCCTAGTCCCTCCAGACTTGCCCCTTTGCTTGGGAAAGACTCTACCATGCATCGCCCAAATGCACTGAAATGGTATCTGCAAGTGACTTAGTTTGCCATTTCTTTATTAGTGAATTACTGATCATTAAAGTTTCCTTTTTAAATTGTCTGATCTCATTTTTGCCAGTTGTTTTCTTTATACAAATTCATTAAATATTTTAGACACTAATCTTTGTTATTAAGAACATTTTCTCCTACTTGGTAGTTTATCTTTTAGCTTTATTTCTCATTTCCTTACAGTTTGCTATTTTTGTTTTACTTAAGTTCTTCTTAGCCAGTCATAAAACTAACATTTTGTTTTAAAATCTTTGTATTTTATCAACAGCCTGCCAGTTCCAGCTCACCATGCCTTGGCAAGTGTAATGAAATTTGAAGGCCAAATTTTCAGCTACTGTGAGTTTTCATTAATTAGGACAGCCTTTTGACCAATTTCCCTTAGATTTAATTTCTTTAACAGTTTTTGGTTAGATTTTCTATACCTTTTCAAATTTATTTTGATATCTTAATTTTCTAAGACCTCCATTTCACCAATAATTTCTAATTTGTCACTGGCGTTCAGAACATGCCATTCTAATATATTGATTATCTTAAGTTAATGCAGCTTAAAAAAAGAGCCTATACGAACAGGGAACACTAACTTTGGGAAAATCTCCCAACGGAAAGGTACACTCCTCTGGCTCCTGGAGGAAAACAGATTTATCACCAGACCCACCTCACCCTCTGGTTGAAAGAAATCTATGCAAACCTGTTAAACTTACCATATCTCCCTAGTCACTTTTCCATGATCAACTGCAAGCTCAAATCTTTATGTCTTGCTATATTTTCACAATTTACTACTTTATCCAACTTAATACATAAGCCTTAGCTCAAACCGCTTCTTTGCATCTTCATTTCCTTAGGAAGGCACCCACTTCAAATAAAACTTAAATAAATCTGTATGCTTTCCTCTTTTTAATCTATCTTTTCTTACAGGAGCTCCAGTAGAGAACATTGATGGGTAGAAGCAAAGATATTTTTCCTCCCCTGCACCAAAAGTTTGAATGGCTTAATCGTAAAGTATCTGTAGCTCAGACTCCTTTTTAATTCTTAGTGTTTGAGGTGGCGGTTCCTTGCAAAGGAAGCCTTTGACAGTTTGGATCTAAATAATATACAAAATATACTTAGAAGTTCACAAATAATTGTTTGTGAACATATATTCATCTCACAGTTTCAGGCAAAAATAAAAAAAAATTCCGGAAAACTGTGAAAATACTGCTTATTATGGTAGAGTACCGGTAAGTGTAGTCCAAGTGCACTTATTTAAAACATACACAGGAGGGCCTCCCTGGTGGTGCACGGGTTTAAGACACAACCTATGAACTATCAGCAGTCACTGCATCACAAGTTCGATGCCTGGCCAGGGAGAAACACACATGGCACAGCAGACCGCTCCTGTCTCACCCGCTGCTCCCCTCAGCAGTGTATTTCAGTCAGTCTGCCTGTTCTGCTCCCCACTCTGTCTGGTGAATCCTCTCACCCCCGCATCTCTGGCCTGTACCCCAGCTCTTGTATGCATAAATAAATAAATCTTTAAAAATTTTTTTTAAATGAAAGCTAAGACAAGAAGTCAGTCATGAACGAAAAAACGATTTTAAATGAAAATAAAATCCAAACAAGCACTTGGCTACTCATCTCAGTTACCTCACTTGCTTTTCCCTGTTCTCAGCCTGGGGTGTATTCTTCATGAACTGATCCCATTTTATTTTTTCTAAGATTCCTCTAGCTCTATTACAACTTATTGCTTAAATTCTTTTTTTTTTTTTTTAATAGAGGCATGTTTTTATTTATTAATTTATTATATTTGTTTGTTTTGTTTATACATGCACTGGGTACAGTCAGAAGCGCGGGAAGGTGAGAGAATTCACCAGAGCCAGAGTGGGGAGCAGAGCAGGCAGAAGGACTGAAGTACACTGCTGAGGGGAGCAGCGGGTGGCAGGAGAGATCTGCGCACCATGTGGGATCCTCCTCCGGTGGCCGGGGAGCAGCCGGGGATCGAACCGGCGCCGCAGAGGCCGCGGGCAGCTTCGCAACCCAGCGCTCAACCGCTGCGCCACCGGGGAGGCCCCCTTATTGCTTAAATTCTATTTTTTCTGATGTTGAGAGTGTGACACTAAACTTTTGGTTAAATCTATCCACCTTTGTGTTTTCATAAGCTTTCTTTATTATTATTATTATTTTTTTTTTGCTCATCTCCCCTCTTTGTTGAATTGCTAAACTTTCTACATGCCCTTTATTCACTTTTTCTGAAAATCTAGGTTGGATTAGGGCAAGAAAAAATTTCCTTGGGGAAAAATACCAATATCTCAAGCTTTTTTTTTTTTTGAGTTTAAATTGTTTGAGTAATTATTTTACTAATTATTTTACTAATGGTTGTCACATCTGTAAATTGCATTAACACCTACATTGTGTCATTGTTAAAGGCACTCTAAATATAAAAATTATAGCAGTGTTGTTACTAAGTCAGCTACTACCTTCACTGTCTAAAGGCAATCAGAATAGAGTGGAATTTCAAAATGCATTTGTGCTAATTATTATGTAAATTAATGTTAGATCTTGTAGTTTTTATTAAAATTATAATTTTATTGGGCCTCCTCCGTGGTGCAGTTGGTTGAGCGCCGCGCTGTGAAGCTGTCAGCAGCCTCTGCAGCGCTGGTTCAATTCCTGGCCGGCCAGGGAGATGCTCACATGGCATGGTGGACCTCTCCTGTTGTGCTCGCTGCTCCCCTCAGCAGTGTTTTGGTCCTTCTGCCTCTTCTGCTCCCTGCTCTGGTGAATTCTCTCGCCCTCCAGAGCCTCTGGCATGTATCCCAGTGCTTGGATAAATAAATAAATCTTTAAAAATTAATAAAATTACAATTTTAAATAATTTTATTTGGTTTTATAATTACAGAAGAGATACCCAAGGGGGTTACACCTGGTTTTTTATTTGTATCTCAAGTAACAGTAAAATAATTTAATTTTTTTTTTTAATCAAGAATAAAACAAGAGCCTCTCCTGGTGGCGCAGTGGTTGAGCACTGGGCTGCAAAGCTGCCCGCAGCCTCTGCAGCGCCAGTTCGATCCCTGGCCCTAACCCTGCAGAACTACCTTTAAGCACAAATATCTACTCTTGTAACCCTCCTTAGGGACTCCCCTATGACAAAACAAACAAAAGATGACAAAAGCTGTAAATCCTAAGCAATTACCTGTGTAAAAAGGAGCTATCCAACTCTGAGAAAATGTGTTGTCAGAAGGAAACCAACTTGGTGACTTGGTGAAGTAAAATCTAACTTGCATCTACTTGACACAAGTGGAGCCTTAGTCATAGGGTACAACAGAAATAGCCAGGCCCACAAAACCCTAGATTGTGAATTGAAGTAATCTGGCCCAAGACCACAGAGGAGGGATGATAGGCATGTTTGTAGACTTAGTATATACTGAGTTCTGGGAGCAGCAGCCACGTCAGCATGTGAGGAGCATGATCTGGGTAGGTGCCAAGGCTTTCAATTTTAAGTCAGCTGCTTCCTGGTTTATTCAGAACACTTTGGGAGTGCCAATTACTGATCCATCACATCAAGATGACCATTTAAGATACCACTGAGATAAAGTTAATGCCTGGAAGAACAAAATGTTTTCCCCAAAGTTGGCACAGGCCTTATCTCTGCCCCTCCCTGAGCCTGCAATAATTGCCAAGGTAGAAACCTCCTTCCCTGCACTAGTCAGTATGCTACCCTCCCCACCCCAAATGTTTTTCCCTACTCTCCACCCTGGAGCCTGAATCCCTTGAAGCTTCCCAAGGGCACTGGCGCACACACATCCTGGAAGGGAAGTTTGCTGCAGAAAGCAGGGCTGCTCCTCTCAGCTCCACCCCTGTGCTCAGGCCTATCTCATGGATTTTAATCTGACATCACTTAGTTTCAAGTAGCAAGAGGCTTGGGGTTTCTCAGACAATGTAATTTTCCTCTGGCCTAAACTGGTCTTAACAAAAAGCCCAAAACTAGCCCCCAAAGCTGTTAGGTTTCCGCTCCCTTTCTTAGCATCACCAACTATTTCTTTTCAACAGTTCTGTGTGTACTGTTCCACCCTCTGCAAGGACTCAGGCACATGCAAAATTTGGCCCTAGGTCTGGCAGAGCTTTCCTCACTACCCTCTGCACACTCCCTGCTCTCCTTTGGGAGGTGTGGCAGCTGCTGCTGCTGTGGGTACAGCTGGAAAGCATCCAGCAAGCTGAAGGGTCACACTTGCACCTTGATCATAAAGCTTTCTGACAGCATTTGAGTTGCCAAAATGAAGAATAAAGCCTTTGCAGGTAAACCTTTGCAAAACAGTTAAAACGGATGCTAAAATTTCAATGGTGAATTCTGAGAAATTTATAGAAACATAAAATGACAAATTTGTCATCTTGGTAAGATAGATAAATCAACAGAAATGAAGACGAGATTAACCAGAATTTTCCTTTACTCCATAATATAAGCTCAGTACCATGGTACGCTATGTTGGGGTCCCTTAAACAAGAGACCAGGTAGTTAATATGTCAGAATGTCTCAAAAGGACAGTTAGTTTGCTCCAGCCGTTCTTGCCAGGGAACGTAAACCACCTGTTGATGCCAAAGCTGATTTTTCCAGAGAAGCTTTAAATTCCAACTTGCATGTATGACTGTTATGTATATGAAATCTGTCCTTTAAAAATGTTGGTTCAATCTTTCAAAAAGCAGACAAACTAAACTGATATTTCAGCTCTATTATGGACTTAGAGAATCTATTCAGGGCAAAGCGCAAGAAGGCAAAGGAAGCATCAAATCAAACACTAAGTGCCTATAGTACAATTTCTTCAGTACAGAAAAACTTGCCTGCAGTTCAAATTCAGTTACAATTTCCATTTAAATACTAATAACTTACAACTTAAATTCTTTGATATAACTTAAATGGTTCCATCTGCTTTTTTCCTGCTTCCCTTTGAAAGGTCAGGTTGAAATTTTGAATTTTAGGATCCACAAGGCTGGCTTTGTTCAGAAAATTTGTAACTCATCAAACCCCCTAACCCAGTAGGTGAAGTCTAAAGTTCTTAAAGGAATATGTGCAATTGTGTCTAGACAACTAAGTAGACTAGGGCAAGGTGGGCAAGACAGATGAGTAAAAGACTTTTGGGGCCCTCTCTGGTGGTGCAAGGGATTGAAGGACTTTGAAGCAATCTGCAATTACTGTGGTACAAGTTCAATCCCGGCCAGGGAGGTGAGCCACATAGTGCAGCAGACCTCTCGTCTTGCCTACTACTCCCCTCAGCAGTGTATTTTGGTCAATCCACCTGTTCTGCTCCCCACTCTGTCTCTGAATCCTCTCACCCCCGACGCCCCACACCTCTGGCCTACACCCCAGTTCTTGCATAAATAAATCTTAAAAAAAAACTTTCCGGGCCTCCCCGGTGGCGCAGCGGTTGAGCGCTGGTTGCGAAGCTGCCCGCGGCCTCTGCGGCGCCGGTTCGATCCCCGGCTGCTCACCAGCCACCGGAGGAGGATCCCACATGGTGCGCAGACCTCTCCTGCCACCCGCTGCTCCCCTCAGCAGTGTACTTCAGTCCTTCTGCCTGCTCTGCTCCCCGCTCTGGCTCTGGTGAATTCTCTCACCCTCCCGCGCTTCTGACTGTACCCAGTGCATGTATAAACAAAACAAACAAATATAATAAATAAATAAATAAAAACATGCCTCTATTAAAAAAAAAAAAAAAAAAAAAAAAAAAAAACTTTCCTCCAAGTTCTATCTGGAAATTTGTTATCAGAAAAGCAACACCTCAAAGCTGCCTGGTGAGGAAGGATCTGATCCTGTGGTAGCAATTATTAATATTCCTGTTGAAATGAGGTTCCTTCCTGGGAATTTTTGCTTGGAGATCAAGAATTTAAACCTATGCCATCCTCCCATAGATAACTGGTAATCCCTGAGATTGAATTTTCTGCCCCAACTTGCTAGCAGCACCACACTCCTAGCACCAATTTGGGAGGAACCCCCTTCTTCAGCTAGAGATTGACAGGCCTGCACCCACACTCACCTTCAGAGGTGTGAAGGGCCATGCAGGCAGCCAAGGCCAAGAGCACAAGTCCCATCTGCTGCATTTCTGCCTGTCAGTAGCACGGCAGGTGAGACAGTAAGATCAGGAAATGAGGCTTCGGGTGTCCTTGGAGACAGAGAAAGAACTCCCAGGAAAAATAAGCCAGAAGCCCCGCCCCGGGAGGTGGTGGGGTTCTTATTTCTCCTGTTTGTTTCCTTAAAATCAGGCTACTGTTTAAGACTAGATGTGTGTCCAGCCACAGGCATGTCTGTGGTGATCTGGCAACTGGGGAGGCTGCTGGGACTGTGTCTTTGCACCAGAATCACTGGGGGGGAAAAATGAAAAAATAAATAGCACCTACACAAATTCTTCCCCAGACCTAGAAATCAGAATTTTGGGGTGGAGGACCAGTAATTTGAGTTTGAAGAAAACCCCCTTGTAATTCAGAGACACCCCAAATGAGAACCATGGCATATAGGAATCAAAATTTTTAAGTGACTTGATTAAACTAGGAGTTTCTGGGGACAAGGGTGACAAGCCATAAAAATTATCACCTGATAGAGTGATCTGGTCTTGGTTTGCAGCTAGGTTGTTTCCCTGTGCAGCTGTTTGTCAATTTAGGGGAAAGAAAAGAAGGTAGAGAGGCTGCTTTCCTCTAGGCTCTACACACAGGTATCAGGAGGCCCAGATTCTTGTCTGGCTTTGTTGCTAATCAGCTTTGTAAATAAGACCATGGGTGTAAGTGGACTCAGATTCTCCTTTCCTACTAACTGTTGCGTAATCTCAGAAAAGGTACTTAACATTTCTGTGAATGAGTCAAGCTGGATGACCACCAGCTTTCCCTGCAACTTCAGTGTCCCATAGGGCAGGCTCTGGGCCACATGTAGCCCCTGAGCATTTGACTGTGCTAGTCCAAAATCAGACGTGCTGTACATGTAAAATATACACTGGAGAGTTCAAAGGCTTAGTACAAGAAATGATGACCGCTTGTTACTCATTTTCATATTGATATGCTGAAATGATAATATTTGCATATACTGAGTTAATAAGATACAGTGTTAAAATCAATTTCATCTGCTTTTTGCCTATTAATGTGACTACTTAGAAATTTTTAAATTACATATGTAGCTTATAATTTACAGTGGTCAATGCTTATAAGGTCAGCTCAAGAGGACAGAATTGTGCCTCTTACTGTCAAGCTGTAGAAATGAACCAAACTCCAACTTCTCAATCAAGAACTGATGTTCTAGGGGCTCCCTGGTGGTGCAGGGGTTAAAGACACAGCACTTTCAAACTATTGCCCGCCACTGTAGCAAGAGTTAGATCCCCAGCCGGCCAGGGAGCAAGCTACATGGCGCAGCAGACCTGTTCTGTCTCACCCCCTGGTCCCCTCAGCAATGTATTTCAGTAGATCTGCTGTTCTTCTCCCCACTCTGTCACCACCCCCACACATCTGTCTATTCCCCAGCTTTTGTATGCATAAGTAAATAAATCTTTAAAAAATTTCAATATTGGAATTGATACTACAGATACAAACACATGTAAGAATGATGTAGGTATAAGAATTATTGTCGTTCTATTTTTTTTTTAATAGAGGCATGTTTTTATTTATTTATTTATCTGTTTGTTTTTGTTTACACATGCACTGGGTACAGTCAGAAGCGCGGGAGGGTGAGAGAATTCACCAGAGCCAGAGCGGGGAGCAGAGCAGGCAGAAGGACCTAAGAACACTGCTGAGGGGAGCAGCGGGCGGCAGGAGAGGTCTGCGCGCCATGTGGGACCCTCCTCCAGTGGCCGGGGAGCAGCCGGGGATCGAACCGGCGCTGCAGAGGCCGCAGGCAGCTTCGCAACCCAGTGCTCAACTGCTGCGCCACCGGGGAGGCCCTGTCGTTCTATTTTTAATAGCAAAAATTAACAACCACATATCTATCAATAGGGTACTAGACAAAGACATTATGGTACCCACAGAATGAACTACAATGCAGCAATATTTATATAATGTAAGAAAATACCTCTGGTCTGTGAGTAAAAACACAGAACAAGGTGCAAAGCAAATATATAGTCTTAACCTTCTTACCTTTCTGTTTACCTTGGCACACCTGATGCCCAACCCCATTACATATTTAATTAGAGTGTAATAAAATAGCAGCTCTGAGGACCCAGGCTGGCTCTCTTAATATTCAGCTCAGCTGCAAAATGTTCTATCTTGTTTCTAAAGAACAGATTTTTTAAAAATCACACACACTTCCTTATCACTCACTCACTCATGCTCTTGGCCCTTATAGTCTTTCATGTGTAGATATGCATGTAAATGCCTATAAAAGATTTCTAGAATGAAAAGCAAGTTATTAGTGGTTGCCTCTGAAGAGGGTGAAGGTCTAGGGTGAAAAATCTCCTTTTCACTGTCTGTACTTTTTTATGATTTGAATTTTTACTAACTCTATCCATTTTTCCACTGTGGAATAATAAATTAATCTAAACTTAGTGACATAAAACATCTATTTCTAGCTCACAGCTTCTGCAGGTCAGGAGTGAAAGATGATTTACCTGGGTTCTCTGCTCAGGATCTGATTGGTGGCATCCAAAGTGTGAGCCAGGGGCTGCGAGTCACCTGAGAGTGGGGCTTCCCTTTGAGGCCAGCACAAGAGTCTCTGCTCTTGTTTAAAGAGCTCACCTGATTAAGGCAAGTCCCCCTAGGATAACCTCCCTTTGGATTCACTTAAAGTTGATTTTAGGGACTTTAATTGCTTCTGCAAAATTCTTTCACCTTTACCATATTCCATTGGCCAGAAGCTGATCATGGGTTCCAGCAGCACTCAACGTGAGGGCATCATACAATAGCTTGAGTACCAGGACACGGGCCACCAGGGTCGCCTTAAGTCTGCCTACCCTACCAGTCTCCCAACTGTGCACACCACCACAATATCATCTAATACTCCACTAGAGCTTGTTTCATTTATTTGCATATATTAAGTCACTTAATGGTCAACCCTACAAAGTAGATACTCTTTATTCCCTACATTTTATGGATAAGAAAACAGGAGCATAAGTTTAAGTCATTCATCCAGGGTCGTAGAGCTTCTAAGTATGGGGGCTAGCACTGGAACCCAAGCAGTCTCTGTTCAGATGTGTGTTTTCCGTTACCCCTCTAAGCATAAGTTTTCAAATGCAGTGATGAAAAGGAAAATCTAAGTGTTCCAGTGTTTTGCAGTTTGCAGTGCCTAAGACTGTATCACAGTTTTGTCAACAATTGTGACTTAAACAACACAGATTTTGCTCCCAGTCTGCACTTTGGGCAGAGAGTACTTGTGTCTGCTCCACTCAGCACTATGTGGAGTAGTTCGAGGGCTGGGTTCTCCCTCACCCCCATGTCTGGCAGTTGCTGCTAGGGACCTTAGTTGCTCAGTGGCTGCCAGCTGGGGCCCTCTGGTGCTCTTTACAAGGGCCTGTCCATGTGACTCATCTGCCTTCCTCACAGCGTGGTGCCTGGGTTCCCAGGGCAAGTATCCATGAGTGAGAAAGAAAGTTAGAAGCTACTAAGACATTTGTCTTGTTTTAAACCACTGAGTTTAGGCCTCCCTGGTGGTGCAGCAGGTTGAGCGCCGCGCTGTGAAGCTGTCCACAGCTTTTGCAGCGCGGGTTCGATCCTGGCCAGACGCGAGGATCCCACATGGCGCAGCAGGCCTCTCCTGTCTTTCCCGCTGCTCCCCTCAGCTGTGTATTTCGGTCCTTCTGCTTGTTCTGCTCCCTAATCTGCCTCTGGTGGGTCCTCTCACCCTCCCACGCCTCGGGCCTGTACCCCAGCTCTTGTATAAAAATAAAATCTTAAAAAAATAAAAATAAGCCACTGAGTGTATTATAATGTGTTACTGCAGCAAAAAGAGAAGTAATTCTGGGTATGTATCCCCACCCTTGGTCCAAAGAGACCAAGGAGGCAGATTCCCATCTCTCTTCCATACTTTCTTCTTTCTCCCCTTTCCAAGATCCCCTGAGGTTTATTTTACTGGTGTAGGCCAGAGGTGGGGGTGGTGAGAGGATTCACCAGAGACAGAGTGGGGAGCAGAACCTGTGAATTTACTGAAATGCACTAAGGGGAACAGCATAGAGTCTCCTGTGCCATATCTCCCTGCCCGGGAATCAAACTCAGGCAGTAGAGGTGATCATCCCTAGGATACCAGGGAGGGCCCCCCGCCCAGGTTTATTTTAATCCCATCTCACTTGGACGGCACAAGGAGATGGGAGAACTGCAGAGTGACTTGCTTGGGGTCCCACACCCGAGGAATGGTCGAGCCCTTTCCCAAAGGGTTGGCCTGGGTCCAGTGTTCCTCTTTGTGAGTCTTGATCAAGAGCAGTCCAGAGTCAATCACTTTAGATTCTAGAGAAACACCAGAACATCAGCTGGCCAAGGACCCAGGCCTCAAACTGAGAGACTATTGTTCAGACTCTGGACAATCAGGCGTGGAGGTCCAGGAAGAGGAAAGCATGGTGTTTACACACAGCTGTCCAAGAGGAGCAGGCCTCCGCAGTACACAAAGTGATCCTTATGGCACCGTCTCTTATGACTGCTTTATAAAGCTCCAACCACTCCAACCACTTGTGTGAAATCACTGAGGGTAGTGAGGTATGACCACGGCCAAGATACATTACACTTGCCTGAGGTCTGCTCTGCAACCACTCTCCCACAGTTTATCGTGGATTTGGCATCACCCAGATATTTAGGGAACATCTTCCCTCTGTCTTACACTTTATGTGCATGATATTAACATCACTGATGGGAATCTGGAAGGTGATCTAATCAAGTCAAATGAATATTGAATGCTTTCTTTGATAGCTCATGCAGATGTCCGAAAAGAACAGGGTAAATGCTGGCATTCCCCTCCTGTTCAGGCAATTAAAGGGCTGAGGGGACTGGAATGCTGTCCAGCATTAACATTAATGCTTCTGGGTATGCAAACTAAATAACTCCTTGCAGAGCCAGTCGAAAGGTTACAGCCTTAGAAGTCCTTTAACTATTATCATTCTTGCCAGGAAGTAAAGAATGCCAAGAGGTAATGCCTTGGATTTATGCAAAGGGTAAGGTGACTGTGGAGACTGCTCTTTAACAAGCGTTCTCAGATCCCTGGAATATTATCAACCTCCTGGCTCGCAGCTGGATCTAATGAGTCTTACAATATTGCTGCAGTCTGATAAAAATAACAAATTATAGTAATAATCATAGCAAAATGGGTCTAATGGAGATGCAGGATCCAGGGTGGAAACAAGGGGCCTGGCAACAGCTTGCTAGTCCATTAGGACAATTAGTGCCAGAGTCCACTGTGTGACCCTCTTGGGACAGAGACTATCAGGCCTCACCTGCACCACTGCCTAAAAATTATACTTATAGAAAAGTGGAAATACCTTTATTTCATATAAAAGTATACATACCTGTTATGTAATACATAGAGTAAAAGCAAGTTCCTCATAGCCCTGCCATTCCAGAGATGACCACTGTTCACCGCTTGGTAACGAGGCTTCAAGACTGTTCTCTACACATACACTCATGCATGTGCCTACTTGTAGAAATGGAGTCGTACTGTTCTATTATTGGTTTTTATTTTTAAAATATTACACAGATATTTTTTTATATCATTACCCAGGTCTACGCCATCCATTTAAATGACTAGCCATTAGTATCCCATTGTTTGTATAATAATTTACAGCACTGATTTTCTAAAGACTTTTAGATGGTCAGGTGCCTTTTTTTTTTTTTTTTGCCATTTTAAGCAACCAACAGAAATCTTTCATCTCTGTATACTTACCTCCTTGGTTCTTTTGAATAAATCCTTAGAATTGGAACTTCTGGGTAAGATGGCTTATACTTCTAAAACACATAAATTCTCTCTGGCCAGGAAGTATGAATGTATCATCCCTAGAGCAATGCCCGTTTCCTTACACTTCCTGTCAGCACTATTATCAATGTTTCTATAATTTGCCAAACTGGGAATCAAAAAAACTCACTGTTATTTTATTTTACATTTTAATTAAATGTATTGGGATTTACATTTAAATAGATATTTCTGAGACAAAATTACATACTCATAATAATTTACAACAATTAGACATAAGCATCTCTTGATGTGAGATAAAAGGTACCCTATAACAAAAAACCCATAAATTCATAATAATACTAGATTAATATGAACTTCTTATCGTGCCTACAGACCCCTTAGATTAAGATCCAGCATGTGTTTTATCACATGAAACAGATATTTAAAATATGCAAACAATTTGTGAAAAAATGTGGCAAATAGCTTTTCTTAAGGCTGAGCAAATTTATCAATGTGGAATGGTTTGTGAGCTGTCCTGCCTCAAGGCGAAAGATAAAGACAGTTCTGAGATCCTCTGACATTACTGTTTTGTGTTTGAGTTGCAAATGAGATGAGAAAAATCAAGAGATAAGAAAGAAAGTTTCTTAAGGGCTATAGATTTTAGAACCCTATAAGCCAAATTTAGGTCAATATTTTCTTTCTTTTTTCAAGGTCATAATTTGAGCCCAGAGAAGAAACCAAACAGAAACTTACCTGCACATTTGATCTTCAGCAGATATTACATTTCAGTTAGCACATCAGGGATCATATAACATGGCAGACGTTATTTTGCTGCTTCCCCCAGCACGCTGGTAAAACACCATTTCATTCCTCTTTGTGCTCCCCTCCTACCCATGAATGTACAAACATCCAGACATAGTTGTACAGATACTGGAAAACACAAAACACACAAAGCAGGGGGCACTGCCCACCAATTTCTGCACCAGGGAAGAAAACACTCCTTTCTCCCCTGCTCTACTTTCAGTAGGAATTCATCCTTTGAATGGTAACTCTCCTAAATTTGGTTTGTGTACCTACAGGAGGTTGGTCCTCAGCCTCTGAGAAACAGTCACTGCTTTCCTTTGCACCTGTCTTTTGCATCATTTCACGTAAGGCAAAAACCCAGCTTCTCCTGTTTTCATGTCCTGAGTGTGTGGGTTTGTAACCAGGAAGACTGTTCCCCAGGCTTTCTCTGATCAGGGGTTGCAGGGTGTCCGACTTGAGTCAGCTGGCTAGCAGTGATGAGTGGCATGCTGTGCAACCACATCAACTCTCAGGGGGGTTGTATTAATAAGGGGTTCCAATCTGTCGGAGCTCTTTCCTTTATTGCCTTGTTTGTGCTGGGAAAACCTCTATCCCAACAGGACCTTCCCAGGAACACAGATTAGTGGATCCATGATTTAGATGTCTTACTTCCGTGGAAGATAGGAGATTTTTTATAACCACTGTTACAACAAAGTCTTTGCTTACTTAAGCTATCTCTGGGATTAGGTATAGACTTTGAGAGGGCTCTATCTTTTGCACCCAATTGGGGATGCCACTTGCTTTCAAAGTTAAGCCATAAAAGGCTGATTTGTTTTAATACATAAAAAGACATATTGGTTTGGAGTCATATTGAAATAGTTTGCTTTTGAAGATTACAACTTTTGTCTTTGAGAGTATTTTAGAGTTCTTATCCTAAGTAAATGTCTTCTTAGTATTCCTGGGAACATCAGATGGGTGGGGGAGAAAAAGATGGGGAGAATGCCTTGACTGATCTGAGAAAAAAATCAATGCCTTTAACAAGATCAGGAAGTAGAGATGAGATTTAGAACAAAATTTGAGAAATACAAAAGGCCCTCAAATAGGAATGAGTTCATTATACACTGAGAACAGGAACGCACTTTGGCAAAGGTCTAAAAATGCACAGGCCTTCTCTTGCTAAGTCCTTTTTGGATTTATTTTGGGTTCCCATTAAAAAGAAATCACTTGAGGGCCTTCCTGGTGGCGCAAGGGGTTAAGCATCAGCACAGTGAAGCAATCTGCAGCTACTACAGGAGTTCGATCCCCAGCCGGGGAGGTGACCCACATGGCACAGCAGACTTTTCCTGTCTCACCCACTGCCCCCTCAGCAGTATATTTTAGTCAATCTGACTGTTCTGCTCTCCACTCTGTCTCTGGTGAATCCTCTCACCTCCCAGCATCTCTAGCCTATTCCCCAGTTCTTGTGTGCATAAATAAATCTTTAAAAAAAGAAAAAAAGAAAAAAAAATCACTGGACTGAACTGCAAATAAGAATAAAAGGGAATGCAAATAGTAATTACCCTAGAATTTTGATAATAGGCAAATATGCCCCTGAATTCCTTTAGAGAAAACCTACATCCTTTCTCAGTTCCTTGGAGATGTAAATTTTATCATGTTTTTGCAATGTAGACATATAAGAAGACAATTCTTGGCTAAAGCAACTCTTGAGACTGAGTGGGAAATAAAGGAAAAAGTTTTGTTTTGGTTTACTTTTTAAATAAACTGCTGTGACTGTTCTCTTGCCGAAAAGTCAGTTCACAGCCTCCACAAGACAGCCTTTCAAGGGCAAATACAAACTTTATAGCTCTTCAGGAAGATTAGCAAAAAGCTTTAGCTAAGTGGATAAACCACTTTTTTCATCTGTCAGAAACACAACCTATATTGAACTGGTTTTTAATGAATCTCCTATTATTGGACCTGATGCATGGTCATTTTTTGAATGAAAGCTTTAAGTTCTCTGTCGACCAGATATGTTGAAGTATGCATATGGATGTATGTTAAATGTGGTATGTTTCTACCTCAGAATGGTCTTATTAAAGCCGAACTTGCAAAAGAGATCTATTAAATGGGCTTAGAGATGAAAGTGCTTATTAAAGACTAGTCAAACAAGCTTGTGTTATCTCTACCGGATGTTTAAGAGTATTGAAAAAGTATCTCAGAGATGAGTAATGTCACCTTCTGTTTACTGTGGATGACAGAGGTGATGGTATGAAGAGAGGAATAAAGTGGTATGAGGTCAGTGGTATGAAGAAGAGAGGAATCAAAGTCCAGATTTCAGACAAGTCATCTGATGACTAAGAATGAAATTAAGGGTTGGAATAAAAGGAAAAAAAGATTCAATTGCTCAAAGTGTCAAAGAAGGTACAAGTGAGTCTTAGAGGGTAGTCTATGAGGGTGAGGAGGATTTGTAGTGAGCTACAGAATGTATCAAATGAATATTTGATATGATGACTAAAGGGTTAGCTGTGCTAGTGGTGAACAAGAACCACAACAGCCCTTATTATTCCCTTACTCTTCTGTTGCTAAAATGGGAAAAACTAAGAAATTATCCCACCGGCAATAAGAAAAAGGAGTCAGGGGCATCTGTTTGATTGGGCGAGGCAGAAGCTTTGCTGCTGCCCAGGAGAAGAAAGATCTAAATTAAAGGAAGGAGGTGAGGATAAATGGGAGTTGTAACCCATAAACAACAGTGGTTTTCAGTTCACCACTGAAGAATACAAGGCTTGGGGAGGAATAGAAAATGGCCTGGTGGAAGTTTTCCTGAATAGTCAGCATAAGGAATATGACTCAAGAAAACAAGATTTGGAGGTCAGATCAGTGAAACAGGAAAGCGAGAAACACTAAGTGAATGGAGGACACCTGGAGGATGGGAGCAAACACACAAGCAAACAAGATACAATCCAGTTTTCCATGTAATGTTGAAGTGACACAACCTCAGGGGCAGGAACTAAACGGCTGAATAGGAGGCTGGTTGCTGTGTTTCCAGAGTTGCAACCACAGCTTTCAGAGATCATTCAGAGAACAAGGAACATTTGTGATGGTACAGGCAAGAACAAAAATAAACCCACAATAAAAATTGAGGATAGTTGAAGCAAGGAGTCATGGTCAAAGTAAATTCCCATTTTAATAAAGACAGTTAAGACAAGCCCCAATGCCAGTGTGACCGTCATAAATAAAGCTCTGTATTTTATTTTATTTTTTTTAAGATTTATTTATTAATACAAGCACTGGGTACAGTCAGAAGCGCAGGTGACAGAATCCACCAGAGCCAGAGCGGGGAGCAGAACAGGCAGAAGGACCGAAGGACACTGCTGAGGGGAGCAGCGGGCAGCAGGAGAGGTCTGTGCGCCATGTGGGACCCTCCTCCGGTGGCCGGGGAGCAGACGGGGATCCAGCAGGTGCTGCAGAGGCTGCGGGCAGCTTCGCAACCCAGTGCTCAACCGCTGCGCCACTGGGGAGGCCCAAAGCTCTGTATTTTAATGAAATCCCTTTTTTTAATATGGAGAAAGAAAAAAGTAGAATTTTATGATTTAGTCAGAAAGTTACACAAGATATTTATTGTTGAGGATTTCTGAAATCAGATGCTTTTAAGTCTCTACGCTAATCAAAATCAACCCCCTTATATAATACTATTACACCAACCAAACTGACACAATAATTCCTCTCAGAAGGTAATAACAGTCTGTAAAATATAACAGATTGCAACCAACTGGCAAAGAACAAACAAAAAAACTAAAGAGCTTGAATCTTCATAATAATTTATATAATTCTGTTTAACTTAATAAATAAAAAAATTGACTTTGGATAAGGCATTGCTTTATCATTTCTCAGAGAATAAGGCACACGATCACTAGCATTTCAAATCACAAATCTGAAGACAGCAGATGGTCAGATGCTACGAAAAAAAAGCAGGTACCTCCGGGCCACTGATTTTTATATCAAAGTAACATTAAACTGCACACATGTAAAGTTTATAGCAGCAAAGTTCTTCTCTAACAAAGGTTACTCATTTTAACAGAAAATCAACCTCAAAGAACAAAGGAAAAAAGCAAATTACCTAAAACTGTTCTATTTTGAAAAAAGTTTGTCTCCAAGTACTAAGCAGATTTTTAAAACTGATTTGGCTGGCATAACACTTCAGGATAGTGTACAAACCGACAGCAACTAGAACCATTTTAATGGCACATTCAGCAGTTTACATTTAAAGTGACATTCCTGGTAAGGCCTTTTTTGTGTGAATTCAAATCCTATGGTTATGACCAAAGTATCAACATTTTGTTAATGCTAAATTTTAACACATATTTGGTTAAATTTCATTGTTTTGCAACTGTTAAAACCCTAGTACATGAGACTCTTGGACAAGATATTGATATTGAAAAAAAATAATATTTCAATGAGCTGTCACTGTAGCTAACAAATCACAACAATTATTTCCTAAAGTGATTTCTAAGACAATAAACTAGATCTAATGCTACTGTCTTTTATGAATATTATGATTTTTCACAAGTGCTCTGAAGCAGATTCTGTCAGTAATCACAACTCACTAAAGCATTTTGCAAATTAAATTTTAGTCAGGATCAACATATAACAATTGAATGTTAGTATTCACTGTATCTCTGACTCAAGACCTCCTTTATTTTGGCATTTTCACTATTTCAATATCTAAAGAAAATATGAATCCAAATATGGTAATCTTCCACAAACTAGTCACCTTAAAATTTGGTTCCTTTCAGTCGGGAAGTGGGTGCCTTAAAGTTGTAATTCCAGAAAACTTAGATATTAATCTAATAATTATCAGTAGGGCCAGAGAAAGAAAACAACAAATGTATAGCACAGCACAGGTGAAGGCCTAATACTGCACTAGAGCATTACACAACAGAAGAATTATAACAAACAATTTTAAAAAACTGTACATGCCTCCTGAGCGAGAGGATTCAGGAATTATAATTACTATAAGTTCCAAGTTTTTTTTTTTTTAGTAAAGTGAGTGTCAGCAACCCTTAATTATCATTGTCTGAAGCATCTGCTTCTCTTAAGTCACATGGTTACCTCAGACATCGATAAGAATCCCATGTTTTGAAGACATCATTTGTCTGGTCCCTGTTAAATACATAACAAATGAACAGATGTGAGGTAAAGATGAAGTCATGGTTACATAAAGCCAGAATGGCAAAGGAGAGGTTTTTCCAAAGGGACAGATCCACAAGCCATGACGAATTCCATCTCGGATATGGTGTGAGGTCCAGGATATAAATAACATCCAGGGGAGAAAGCACCATGAGTCTTTGAGCTTGAGCAGGTGCATAGTGAACTTCAGGGTCAGAGCCACAACGGGTATCACTGTAGAACAGTGAAGGAAAGGTCTTCGGGGAAGAGTCAAGGCGGCCTGAGGAGGGGAAGAGAAGCTCGCATCACTTCTCAGCAAAAACAAATTTTATGGATAGTTCTTAACATTGTAAAATAGTTTCCAGTAGTCTGTTGGGAGTGCAAGGGAAGTATATTCTGTGCCACCTCCAAACGCATGCATTAAATCTTTTGGGTATCAGGGCCTCCCCGGTGGCGCAGTGGTTGAGCGCTGGGTTGCAAAGTTGCCCGCAGCCTCTGCAGCGCTGGTTCGATCCCCAGCTGCCTGGCGAGGGTCCCACATGGCGCGCAGACCTCTCCTACCACCCACTGCTCCCCTCAGCAGTATACTTTGTCACTCTGCCTGTTCTACTCCCCCTCTGGCTCTGGTGAATTCTCTCACCCTCCCGCGCTTCTGACTGTACCCAGTGCTTGTATAAATAAATAAATAAATCTTTAAAAAAAATCTTTTCGGTATCAGGCAAAGAAGATAAAAAAGTAGGATATTCTCTGCATTAAGTGAAATCAAAGCCTCAAGTATTATTCCATGTTGCTCTCATCTTTGTTTTATGACCTACACCCACAATACATGATCTTCTAAGCAGCAGAGTGGGGTGAGGGGGCCTATGCTCATCTCTGCTTGGAAGGAGCACTAGCCTGGTGTGGAGGTGATCACCAGTTATGCCCTGGATCTGACTGAGAGTTATGGATTCTTCACGCTTTTATCTGTGGTGTCTATTTATATGAATAGATGCTAAAGAAGACACAAGAGATTCCTGTTGCTTGACTTCTAAAATATCAGTGCAGATTTCATTCGCAGAAAAATAATGAATATAACCAAGATAAAAATGCATATATTGTACAAAAATGAAAAATGATGTAAAAATATATAAAATAAAAATAAAATAATGAATAGTGAAAGAAAAGGACAAGATCATAAAATTATAGAAAGAAAAATAGGTCACTTTAAATAGGAAGTAAAAGCAGATACCTAAAAATAAGTATTATCAATCCTTCGTTTTGATAGTTATTACTGATGATCACATACAATCTTATACTAACTACGAAAAATGTTTGCTTCATTCAAAAATGAGGATCAATATCAGCACCATATATTCTTTATATGCACTATTGCATTTAATCCTCGTAACAATCCTATGAGCTAGGGATCACTTATCAAAGGAGGAACCAAGAGAGGTTATTTCACTCTTCTAGGGTTATGCAATCATTAAGTGGCAGGGCTGGGCTTTGATCTTGGGTCTGATTCTATGGCTTATTTCTTAACATTACTGTTTCTAAATGAATCAAAGTACACAGCTAAATGTCTTTAAATTCCAGGTGATTGCATTTATGAACCACACTTCATAATGATTCATAGTTTATTCCAATCTCTACTAACATTTATTATTTGTCAGGATGTGTCACCTACCATTCTCATTTGGTCTTCACAACAGTAATCCATTTGTTATAAATGAAGAAATTGAGATTTAAAGAAGAAAATCACTCTGCCAATACCATATACTAGGATTTAAACTCGAGACTTCTGATTCCAATATAATGGAACTGATGTAATGACAGCAATGTCACGCTGTCTCTACTTACAACAAGAAACTCAAAATTTTCCTTTTGTCAGGAATCAGAATTCCTTACTAACAAGTTTCTATATAAGGGAGACAACTGCTGAGAAATACCTGGTACAGTACTTGACATGTAACAGGAAGAAGTGACAACTTTTAATTTGTTGAACATATATTTACTGAATGTCTACTACATGAACCAGGCACAATTTTGGGCCAGTGATGAGCAAAACAGTGTCCTTGCTCTATTTCTTTGTATTTCCTTCCTCAAATGTTTCTAGATTATAAACATTGTGGCAGGCAAATCTCTTGACATTTAGAAAGTACAATCTGAACCACCCCGGTAAGCTTAGTTCATTTGCAAGGCTAGCAGGTCACCACATGGTTGAACCTCTGAAGTCTCAATGAAATTCCTCAATTTTGGGCCTCCCCGGTGGCGCAGCGGTTGAGCGCTGGGTTGCGAAGCTGCCCGCGGCCTCTGCGGCGCCGGTTCGATCCCCGGCTGCTCCCCGGCCACCAGAGGAGGGTCCCACATGGCGCGCAGACCTCTCCTGCCGCCCGCTGCTCCCCTCAGCAGTGTACTTCGGTCCTTCTGCCTGCTCTGCTCCCCGCTCTGACTCTGGTGAATTCTCTCACCCTCCCGCGCTTCTGACTGTACCCAGTGCATGTATAAACAAAAAACAAACAAACAAACCAGCAAACAAATAAATAAAGCATGCCTCTATTAAAAAAAAAAAAAATTTAAAAAAAAAAAAAAAAAAAAAAAAAAAAAGAAATTCCTCAATTTTCCACCAGGAACTGTCCCAATAAGCCCACTGAAATTGTGAGCCTCTGGCCCCAAAAGGGCCTGGGGAAATGGTCTATTAAAGTCATTCCCCAACACTGGAAATCATCTCAACACTTTTCAACTAGGATGGAGCATTAGGAGTTGAATACGAACTATAAATGTAAAGAACAAGGGGAAACACCTGGGTGTGGTTCTGAAGAAAGAACATTAATACAAAAAGAAACAGAAAAGCCCTGAGAATGACTTCTGTGACTTCAAACCAGCTGGCTCATCTTTAAGATGTGGCTAAATACATCTTCAGGAGAGCCAGTATGAAACTCTGCAGGTACAGTGAGTCCTGCTCTGTGTGTGTCCATGGCACTTGGTGATGGCAAATAACTAGCAATGGATTTGTGTACATCTTTACTGAAGTAGTAAGTATGCAAAAGAGCTCGATCGATGCATGGGCTTTCTTATTTTAAAATAAGGCCAGTCTTCTCAGGTGATGCTATGAAGGTCAATATGATGGTGCTAAGGAAATTAAAAGACCAGAAACATTAAACATAGTTATTTCGTACCTTTAAAGACAGGGATCCAGCTAAAAAAAAGTGGTCTACATCAATAACAGAGGCTAGAAATCCAGCCAAAATGACTTCTCCAATATCAGTCTTCTTCCTGATACCGATGACGATGGCCCACGACCACATGCCAATGACACAATGCACCGCATTGTCTGAGAGGGCGCGAAGCCAGTCATTCTGCTGAATTATGGAAAACTGCAGAAGTCTGTCAGCTACTAAGCAAAATATCCCTAGACCGAGGCTGGAAATAAGAGATTCTGTGCTGCAAGACTGGAGTAAGGCTCGGGTCTTCTCAGTTTCAGATTCCATCACAAGCGATGTCAGTATATACTAAAAGCCATCAAGGAGCAGCAGCACAGACTTGTTCACATTCCCAGTCACCCTAGAATAAAAAAAAAGTATTAATAGCGACTACAGGCTGATATGTAATACTTAAACGAGCCAATATCAGCAATAATTTCACATTTATGAAACCTGATTGTGAAAACTGGTGTTTCTTTTTGAACTATTGTCAGTGGTTTCATTTTTTCCCTTTCTTCCAGCTTTACTGGAATATAATTGACATATATGGGATATGATTGACATATAACTCTATGTGTATTTAAGGTGTACAGCATGATGACTTGGTACATATGAAAAGATCATTGCAGTGAGGTTAAACATCCATTACCTCACCTTGTGAGTGTGTTTAGGAGCCGGAGTGAGAATATTTAAGAGGCACTCTCTTAGCAACTTTCAAGTACAGAAATCTGGCATTTCTTACATATTGCATGTAACGTGCCAAGTGGCCCAGTGTAGGAAAGGCAGTGTCTTTGGCAACTTAAGGAAGCCCACTAATGGCTGTATACCACCTGGAGTTCATCAAATAGTTCTCTTCTTTACAGAAAACCATTTTTCACAATAGCCAAACTCTGAAAGCTAATTAAAATTCCCTGACTTTTTATTAGTTTGGTTAAATAGTAATGAGTATCCATTTTTCCAGTAGTGATTAGTAGTGATCTAGTGATGAAGATGATCTAAGCTGAGTCAATCTGACTCCTTTCCAGAATTTTCCTAAGTGGGGCTGGTGGGAAAACTTCTTTTTCTGCTTGGAGACCACAGGCTCTACTACATGAAACAGCATGGAGGAAAAAGAAGCATGAGAACATCCAGTCCTCAGGTCCAGTTTCTAAGTTTCTCAGGCTCAGAGCTGCCCTAGCTCATGACACTCATCCTTTACTTCTCGCAGCTATCCCAGCTGTTCCCAGTCAATTCTTTTTTCCTTTCTATTGCCTCTAAACAGAGAACCTGAATTGATAATAAAAAAGCAATGATACATCTGTACTGAGTGCTAAGCTGACACAGAATATAGAAATCATTTATCCACTTAAAGTTATCACTATTGTTAGACCTGAAGTTTTTATTTTGCATGGTTTTATAAAGTCCAGAAACAGGTCAAAGGTAGGCATAGGGATGAGGGGTGTGTGTGTATAACTCCAGACTGGTAGACAAACAGACCCTGTATCAGTAAGGGTTCTTCAGTGCATCAAGAGTATAAGCAAAAAAAAAAAACAAAAAAAAAAAACAAACCCCGAATTTATTAAAAAGATACTAGGAAATCAGACTTGACAGGTTTCAAGAACCAGGCCTCAAAGCTATGCCTCAAGCTCCACAGTGAATGATGGCAAAACTGGTTTGCTGAGGACCTGCCTGCCACTATGCCCAGATAACACTACCTAAACCCCGCCACCAGGGAACACCACCAGCACCACTGCCAATCCTGTTCTGCCTCCTGCTGCCACAAGAGGTTCTTGTCAATATTTGTTTATTTGCTCTCAATATAAAATTGGGAATGGGACAAGGCAAATGTTTGATTAGCTCGGTCTAAGTCACAAACCCATGCCCCGCTGCCAGGGAGCTTGGAAAAGATAAGAATTGTTCATATCAGCATATATAGAAGGTAGGCTCTTTCTTCCCTTCCAGATGCCTCAGAAAATGAATCTGAAAATACACTAAATGGGAAATGACCGATCCACACTGGCAATCAGTCCATTAGAAAAGACTTTAATTGTTAAGTACTACTTACTACAAGCCTGATAGAAAAGCTCTATTGCCACTCAAGCTATCCAGATATTGTGCATTTCATTACAAATTTATTTTCCAACCTTATTCCAAAAGGCAGACAAAAATAAAAGGTGATTTTGCTTGATGCATTACATCCATCTTCTTTACTCATGAAACGATTTTTATCAACAAAAATATATTTAAGTGCCACTAACCTAAATTTTATATGAGTGCAGATTCTAATAGGTATGGGTAGCTAAAAAAAAGTGAATAAGCAAAGTGAAAAAAATCAAAAGATCACTTCAGGTGCATAAATGATGAACCAAGAAAAACTCATGTTCACTAAATAACTGTATTGGGATTTATGAGTAAGAACATACATACAACAGGGGAGAACAAGATGCATTTTATAAATGGAAAGTAGAAAACAGCTTGTTTGATGAAAGGAACAAATAGCTCATAAGAGAACTTGGAAGCAGATCCCTCAGTCTTTCAAAACTTCAGATTCCTGCAGCTCTGCCAACATCTGACCAGCACTGCGATACCTGGCCACAAGCACTTGCCTACACCTTTCCAAAGTTCTGGCCCACAGACCTGGGGAGGTACTAAATGCTTACTGTTTCAAGCCTGTAAGTTTTGGGAAAATTTGCTGTGCAGTATTGTATTGTTTCTACTTTTACAAAAGGTAAAAATTATGGTCCTGCAAACCAACAATTCTGACTTTTATCCCATTCTAACTATTGGTGCACATATTTAATATCTCTGGCTTAGATTCTGAGTATGAGAAAATTAATAAATATACTTCTTAGCATCTCTGACCAAGACCTCTAAGTGTGTCCATTTTTTCTTACCTTTTTCCACTTTCTGCTCCTTCCCCTACAAATAGAATGGATTCCTGAACCTCCCAAACTACAAAACGGTTTTATTTTCCATGTTCCTGAGTTCCTTGAGAGTGGGCTTCTTAAACATAATTTTCTTTTAAACCTTACATATGTAAGTCATAAAGTGCTCAAGGTGTTTAATAAATATTTCACTAAGCTAATACAAGAAGTAATCCTGTCTATGAACTAAAGATATTATTTCAAAGGACTTCTTTGACATAAGCTAGTTACCAATGGTAAATTTCTATCACTTTCTCTGATAGGCAACTCGCCACATCCCATGCCCTCATAGTAAACAAAATGTCACCACTAAAGGTCCTGCAAATTACACATAGTAGTAATCTTCCCTTTCCTTAACTCTATAAACACATAATTAGCCGGTTACTTCGATTATATACTATTGTGCAGTGTTTAATAATCTCTTAAGACACTATTTCTGCCAAAACAAATTAGAACAAGTTCCCAATGTAAATATCACCTGTGCTTTCCACCCCGCCCTATTCACAAGTAGCTACAAAAACCTAAGAGTGAGACTTAAAATTCTCTAACTGCTTTTAGGGTGCTTTAAAAATAAATTCTTCACTAAACTGTAGTCAATGCGAAAGTAATTTTTAAGATATAATACCTAAAGCAAATGCCAAATTGAATGCAGCTCATTTGCAAAAGGAAACACAAATCTCACTCACTTTTACGTAAGCCTTTTATAATCTGCACAGGAGTTAATTCCTATCACCATGACAAATTCACAATTCAGAATGTCAACGTATTTAAAGCTCAGCAAATTCCCTAAGGCTGGTGGGATGCAATATAAATGTCGATTAAGAAAATACACGAGGAGGAAGGCCCGGAGTCTGCAGGGCAGGAGCCTCCTGGCATCCAGGGCGCCTCAGGGCTGTCAAGCCCCCCGGGGAGACAGCGGGTTCCTCCGGCAGGTCCCCGACACCCCGCTTGAAGCAGAGAAATGGCAGCGGCGCGGACATTAGGGGAGCGCTGGGCGCCTGGGAGATCTCGGGGACCCGGGTCAGGCGCCCCCGGCTTTCCTCGGGCCCCGCGTGCCTGCCGCCCCTGCAGGCCCGCCTCATGTGGAACCTGGATCTTCGACTTCAGGCTCAGACGGTCCCTGCCTCTGGCCTCCCGCCTCAGGCCGCAGCTTCGCGGGGTCCATTCCGAACCCCTCTAGCCCGGATATTCGCACCTCAGTCGCGCCCGCCCCGGCCCTGCCCCTCCCCGCGGAAGTTTGCAGTTAAGGGAGGCCCCGCCCCTCGCTTCCTCCTTGGCTGGCACCATAGAGATGCACGGCGGGCTAGAGCGGCTCCAGCGCGCCCGCCAGCCGAGGGGCTTTCGGGATACTGGCCCCACGCTGAGCCGGCAGGAACCGATACTTAAGCGCTCTTTGATGGAGCGGGTCGGTATCCGGAATTCTCCCCACCCTGTTCCTAAAAAGGGGACCTTTGGGAGGATGGGGTGAGCAGGGAAAAGTGCTGATTTCTTTCTGTCAAACCTGAGGATTCGTTCTCGCTCGGCCGGAGCCGGACCACAGACCCAGCTGCCGACAGACCACGCGCAGCCCCGGGGCGGCCGGGCGCTGGGGGGCGGGCGTGGCTCCCCCAATGTCGGGCGCCCCGGCCTGCGGCCCGGACGCGTCTTCGTGGGTCCCTAAGGTGTAGATATTTCCCACTTCTGCAGTAGATTCTCCGGTATTTCTCGAGACCAGGGGCCGTGCGAGCTTGCAGACCCGACGCTCCTCCGCAGCTCTTGACTGCCCCCTTGGGGATTTCTTGATAATTGTGCTCCCCGCTTTGCGGGCGGACATTGGGGGGCTGCGCTTTCTGTGGACAGCAGTGATGAATATTGGCTGGGACCTTTAATGAGTACTAAATGCGCGATCAAAAAAGCGACTGCATAAGGGGTAGCTTGACCAAATTGGACTGAGAAGTTGCAGTTTACTGGGTCTGTGGCCTGGTTGGGTCTTACTTCCCTGCCTCGGAGTGGTGGGTGCTCACTGAGCACCTAGAAAAACATCTGTTGTGCACTGACCCAAAAAAGGAGGCTCAAAAAGGTGCATTCTTCCTCCTTTTTCCCTGTAGCTTCTCATCAAAACAAGTGTCAGTGGAAAGCAAGGACAGCAGTGAGACTATATTATATAGTTGAAAGAGACCATAGAAGATTTGTAATTTTGTAATTCTTAGGCCTTTCACAAAACCTTGAAGTGCATTGTAGTTTCTCAATTGTGTAATTCCTCATTGCTGGTCACCTTCTTAGCCAATGGAGAAGACTCATGTGAGGAAGAAAATTATACGTAATTTGCCTAGCTTAAATGCTAATTAAAAATTACTCGTCACTGAATACATTAGCCAGAATATTGGGTACATTTAGTCATATTAAAGATGATTTTTTTTTTGAATGCAGTAACAAGTAGGCATTCTTTTTATAATGTATGTTTTTGTTAGTCTAGGCTTGGTAGAGCTAGTGAGGGGCAACTTTTCCTGCAATCAAAACAGGACCTATTATAGATTTTTTTTAAAAAAAGAATTATTTGTGCATACAAGAGCTGGGGTGTAGGCCAGGGGTGGGGGTGGGGGTGAGAGGATTCACCAAAGACAGAGTGGGGAGAAGAACAGGCGGAATGACTGAAATACACTGCTGAGGGGAGCAGCAGGTGACACGTGAGAGGTCTGCCGGGCAGTGTGGGTCAGCTCCCTGGCCCTGGATGGAACTTGTGCTGCAGTGGCTGCAGATAGATTCATAGTGCTGAGACTTAACCCCTTGCACCACCAGGGAGGCCTTATTACAGGTTTTCCCTCGGCAGTCAGTCTGCTGCACCTGGTTGGAAGCAGTATTCCCTGTGTTAAATTTTTAATCCAATTCTCATCTCGTAGTTGTACTGAAAGGTACTTGGACTACAGAGACTAAATAGCAAATGACAGCATACATTTCTGCATATTAAAAGAAAAGCAGGGCCTCCCCGGTGGCACAGCGGTTGAGCGCTGGGTTGTGAGGCTGCCCGCAGCCTCTGCAGTGCTGGTTCGATTCCCGGCTGCTCCCCGGCCACTGGAGGAGGGTCCCACATGGCGCGCAGACCTCTCCTGCCGCCCGCTGCTCCCCTCAGCAGTGTACTTCGGTCCTTCTGCCTGCTCTGCTTCCCACTCTGGCTCTGGTGAATTCTCTCACCCTCCCGCGCTTCTGACTGTACCCAGTGCATGTATAAATAAATAAATCAGAAAATATATATTAAAAAAATAAAAAGAAAAGCACTTGAAGCTTAATAGTGGTTTACAAGATAGTAACAACTATAATTTTATAAATTTTTATCATAAATTTGAAATAAACTTCAAAAACTTTAAATAGTTCTTTATTAATAAAGTTTATTACAAATATACATCACAAAATATACAAGTTAGGTAAAATACCACCCAAGTTAAATTATTTCTTTGATAATATTTGTACAGAGAAGTATTACAACTTCCTAGCTTGCTAGTAATTTCATACCAGTCACTTGAAACATCATCCTTAATGTTTAGTAATAATTGTAATAATTGTAATAATTCCACTTTTCACTTTTTAGATTTTGATAGAAGACAGTCAATATCTTGAAGGATTTCAGAGGTTTTTTTCAATGCCACTGACACACACTTTTCATTAACTTCTAGCAAAATTTCTGAAGGTTTTGGTTTACCGTGATCAGAAGACTCTTCATTTTTCTTGTCAGAAGTCTGGTTTAGGATACCACTGTCCTCCAATAATACTAAGTAACTTCGTTAAGGAGCTTTTCCCTATTTTTCATTACATAAAGGATTTTTTATTCATAAAAACTGGCTTCATGTTAAAATATTTCTCTAATGGGAGAAAGATCTTCCACTGAGAGGAAGTTCTGAATTGGGGCTTGTGAAATTATAAAGTCTATCCTCATAGATGAAGAAATTAGTTTGAGGGCCTCCCCGGTGGCACAGTGGTTGGGCGCTGGGTTGCGAAGCTGCCCGCAGCCTCTGCAGCGCTGGGAGAGGGTCCCACATGGCGCGCAGACCTCTCCTGCCTCCCACTGCTCCCCTCAGCAGTGTATTTCGTCGGTCTGCCTGTTCCGCTCCCTGCTCTGGCTCTGGTGAATTCTCTCACCCTCCCATGCATCTGGCCTGTATCCCGGTTCTTATATAAATAAATAAATAAATCTTTTAAAAAAAAAAATAATTCAGGGGCCTCCCCTGGTGGTGCAGCGGTTGAGCGCTGGGTTGCGAGGCTGCCCGCAGCCTCTGCAGTGCCAGTTTGATCCCCGGCCACCGGTGAGGGTCCCACAAAAAAAAAAAAAAATTCAGGAGCAAAACAATTTTTGATATTAAAATGGGCAGAGAAAATATTTTCCAGATACACAAATGCCAATAGGTAGTGAAAAGGTGCTCAATATCACTAATCATCAACTACCAATCAAAATCACAACAAGATTTCACCTCATACCTGTTAGAAGGGATATCATGAAAAAGAAGAGAGAACAAGTATTAGTGAAGATGCAGGGGGAAAAAGAACCATTGTATGCTTTGGTGGAAATGTAAACTGGGCCAACCACTATGGAAAGCAGTATGGAAGTTCCTCAAAACATTAAAAAAAAATAGCTACCATGTGATTCCGTGCTCCCACTTTTGGATACATATCCAAAGGAAATGAAAAGTCTCGAGATGTCTGCATTCCCATGTTCACTGCAGCTTATTCACAATAACCAAGGTATGGAAACAACTTAAGTGTCCATTAGTGGATGAATGCATAAAGATGTGCTGTGCATATACAACAGAGTAAGAGAAAGAAGGAAATCCTGACATTTGCAACAACACAGATAAGCCCTAAAGCCATTATGCTAAGTGAAATAAGCCAGACAGAAAGACAAATACTACAGGATGTCACAATTTTTGAAAAAATAATTCAGACATAGAGAATTGAATGGTGGTTGTCTGGAGCTGGAGGATTGGGAAAATAGTGAGAGGTTGGTAAAAGGTATAAATTTTTGGCTATAAGATATTCGAATAAGGACTGAGGATGGAATGTATGACATAACTATAGTTGATAATGTGTTGTATGGTTGAGGTTTTCTGGGAGGATGGTACTCAAGAGGGTTCTCATCAGAAAAAAAGACACAAAGGGTAGATACGGGTATGAGCTAATTACTTTTGGAGTGTATGTATGTGTGGGATCACCATGATGTACACTTTAAATATCTTACAATTTTGCTTATCAATTATATCTCTTTAAAGCTGAAATTAAAAAAAAAACAACAACAAAGATAGAGTAAAGTTAGGGGTGGCTTGGTAGGGGAGGGGGAAAAAACAAGAAATAATCTTTTGGGTAGAAAAAGGAATGTATGTAATATTTTACCTAGAAAGAATGATGTACGGCACATATAAAAGTCCAGTAGATATTTGTTAAAAAAAGGAAGATCAAAAAAAGAAAAAGAAAAAAGTGACATACAGGTCTGAGTTATAATTTAGAATATAATTCATTAAGTACAAAGGTCTCCATGTGACACCTTAATCTAAACACCCAGTTCACTGTCCTTTGCGGATTTAAATCCAGTAAAAAGTATAAATGTTAAAGTGATGCACCTTTTTATTTTTATTTTTTTAAGATTTATTTATTTATACAAGAACCGGGGTACAGGCCAGATGTGTGGGAGGGTGAGAGGATTCACCAGACACAG